GCAATAGTTAGTATTGGGCACAACCCTACCACACCTCCAAGCTCACCGGACAGCAATGGGTTGAGGAGCTGATGTGCGGGCACCCTGAGAGGATCTACAATGAGCTTGGGGTCCATCTGCATGTATTTGTCATGCTGTTGATTGAATTGCGGGGGTTGGGCTCCTCTGACTCCAAATATGTGTCTCTCGAGGAGCAGCTTGCTATCTTTCTTTATATATGCCGCACTGGGCTCGGCTGTCACCACGTTGGGGAGCGCTTCCAACGCTCCAACGAAACCATTACAAAGTGGGTGAATTTTGCTTCTACAATGGACACAGACTCAACAACTGTGTAGATGTTTTCGTAAAATGGTTTTCACCTTTTCTGGTGGTCATTTCTACAATACATATGTTACCCTGCCTACATCTCGGGACCCGCCAGCCTCCTACCTCCGAAATAACCCAAAATTCTGGCCGTTCTTCGAAAATTGCTTGGGCGCAATGGATGGCTCACACATTGCTTGCACGGCAAGCGAGGACGATCATTCGAATGCCCGCAATCGCAAAGGCTTCCTTTCCCAGAATATCCTTGCAGTTTGCAGCTTCAGCTTTCGCTTTATCTATATTCTCTCTGGTTGGGAAGGGTCTGTTACGGATGCATTTTTGTATGCAGATGCACGCATCAAGGATTTCCCCATCCCCGATGGTTTTTTTTACCTGGGTGATGCGGGCTTTCCACTGACGGCCAAAGTCCTCGTCCCCTATCTAAATGTCCGATACCATCTGCGAGAATGGGCCAAGGGAAAAAGCCGGTGAGTGTTTGTTCAGCTATGTACATTGTAAAAAAATAACTTCTTTACAGCCCCCAGAACCGTGAGGAGCTGTTTAACTTGCGCCATGCACAAGCCCGCAACATTATCGAGCGAATTTTTGGTGTAATCAAGAAGCGGTGGCGCATTTTAATCATGCCGCCAGGTTATGACATGAAGATTCAGGCACACATTCCTGCTGCACTGGCTGCAATTGATAATTTCATCCTGGAGCACGACCCGGATGACCGTGTTGACCCTGCAGTGTGGGATCCATCGCCAGGTGGTTCAGTTGACCCTGACATGGTAGTTGCACTCCGGCTCGAGGGTGAGCTAGCCACTGAGCGGCGCACATCTGAAGAGTCAGAAATTGGCGTAGAACTTCGTGATCACATTGCTGATGCAATATGGGTGCAGTACCAGGAAGTCTTGCGTGAACGCCCGGACAAGCCAGATTTTGATGAAGAGGACAAAGCTGCTCAAAGTGACGATGAAGCACTGTCTGCAATGGAAGATTTTCAATTGGACAACGATGGGGATGAAATGCAGATTGATTAGCTAAACTAATTTTTACGGGGCCTGCACACTTTTGTAGTAGTCTGTGTCATACCCAAGTGTAACACAGACCCAAGTTTTGCGCTCTGGCGAGCCCTCACGCGTCCACGACATGTACTCATCTGCTACCTGCCCCTTCCCAACAAGGCCTCCGAGTCGAATGTGGTCCGCAAGAGGGAGCCATTTCTCCCGGTGGACGACCTCAAGCGCACGAGCACGGCGCTCAGGGCTTGAGTTGGTGTTGGTGGTACGAAGAACATCTGTGAGCTCACGCGTCGCAGTGCTCATGCGCTCGCCAAATGTTTCGAGAGAGCGGCTCACAGAGAACAGTGCATCTTGTGGATTGACACGCGCTTTCTTCCTCGATGACGTGTCAGCTGTCAACGATGCTGCTGGGCGCTTTTGGGCAGCAGATGTCGACGCGGTCGAGGGGATACTGGAGCTGGCCTGTGTGAACGTAGTGTTGAGGTCAAGCTGAGAGCTGTTTCCGTCGTCCTGTGAAGCCGGCTGGGCCATGGCCTGGCTGAGCTGCTCCGGGTCCCAGTCTGGGCTGTAGCACCCGAATTCGCCCGCGGGCTGCTGTGATGCGGAGCTGGCTGCATCTGCAGGCTGTTGTGACTCCGGGCTGGCCGAGGCCTGCAACACAGCAGCAGGAACGACACCATCGTTGCCCACCACACCAATACGTGGCCGGTACGAGTTGTCGCCCTTGGGTTTTGCAGGATCGAGCTGCTCGAAGAATGGATACGGCGGCCAGCCCTTGTTACGGAAGGGGGTACACTCGGGCCGCGAGAGCACAAGGCCCTCCCAGACTTCAGCCTCTGTCTGTGTGATGACATTGGCACCAAAATCATCGTCCCAGTTGCCACCGGAGCGTGTTTTGAGGTAGTTGACACCCTTGTAAATGGCCAGGACCTGCTGAGTATTAGCGAGGAAGGGATGGGAGCCAATAACGCACGTCTGATAATTTTTGCTTCACTCCATTTAGCTTTTTGAGGCCGCCGATAACAATGCGCTCATTGAGGTATTCGGTGAGACTTTTGAGAACCGGAGGCTTGTCCTTATTGCTGTCACCGGAGACATGGGTCTCGAGGAACTCTGCCATGTTAATGAGGTCCGTGAGGACCCACTGTGCTTTCACGCTGGCACGGATCTCTTGGGGCTGCAAGTACAGCGGATGGACATAGACGGTGATAGTATCGACATGCCGGTAGCCTATGCCATTGTGCCCAGCCTGGGGTTTCGTCATGGATGCGGAGAAAACACCTCGAGGAGTAAGAGACAAAAAAAAGATTCAATGTGTGACAGCTGTGACTAATCATCGGACCGTGTCGCCGATCCTGGATCCTGATCCTGATCCTGGTTGTCGGGATGATCCGAACGCACTCGTAAGTTGTTTCCAAAAACCCTGTAGAAAAAAGCTAATTTTTGGACAGTATATCGCCTATATTCCCATAAGGGAGTTTCATAATTAGATTTCAGAGCCCCAACTCATGCCTCAACTCCGACCTCAGATCAAGTTGGGGCACAAAAAGAATTGGGGCACCGAGTTGGATGTCAAGTCGTGCATAGGACCCCGACTTGACATCCAACTCGTGCCCCAACTCGGTGCCCCAACTTCGGCTAACTTCGGGCTCACGCGAGGATCCCATCATGATCCCGGAGGTACCTCGACTCTGCCTCAACTTTGCAGAATGAGCTGCCTTAGGTGTCTCAAAAACAAGGCCTCAACTCATGCCTCAACTTGGCTCAAGTTAAGGCCAAGTTGGGGTCGAAGTTGGGGCACAAGTTGGACCCAAAATTTTAATTATGAAACTCCCTATACTTTCACTGCCCTCCGCAATGCAGTTACAATTCCCAATCCTTCCGCTCCGCTTGTTTACATGCAGGGTGGATTTATCCGTCCTCATGAAGGCTTCCTCTGGCTCACTGCTATCTGCGGCCCTCGCTTCCCGGCATTTCAGCCCTGCTCGAGGCATATCATTCCCCCGCTCTTCCTGGAATTCTTGACAACTTCCTATCTGGTTCAAATGTCGTGCCCTGCTGTCGTCTTATATGCGGGTGCTGAACACCTTCTGCTGCTTGCAGTGAATGTGGTTGTCGAGTGGCAGAGGTATCGGCCATGCGAACAGGCTACTCCTGCTGTTATATCTGTTTCCGTAGGAGCCAGTCCTTGATTGATTCATCTTGCCCCAGACAAAGGCGTGCACCACTATCGCAGGGGCCACACGTACATGGACCATCTTTATACAGCCCAGGCCAGGGCTTTCTGCTACTTCTGTGGGCCTGATACCCACGGGCAGCGTGGGGGAAATTCTTTTGTATTTTGGGCTGCCAGCACTGGGCTTCAGCTCTATTGGTGCTATATATATATACATATATACTAGCCCTGGTATCTACCCGCATGCAGGTACCTCCTTCCCTTCTCTTTAGCACTTAACGTTCAGCTGCTTCACTTGCTCATTACCAGTTTAAAGTTGTATTTACGGGTCCACGGGCACTCCCATCAACCAGCCCTGGGAGTACCCTGTGTGGTCTACTGGATGCTCCCAGTCTTGCTGCCGGGAGCTCCCATCGATTGGCAGTGGGTGCTCCCACCCTTATTCCACTATTGACCGGGTGCTCCCACCATCAACATCCCTGGGTGCACCCGCTGACAGCCATGGGTGCTCCCATCTTCAGGCAAATAACTGGTGGGAGCACCCACCCATTATCAAATGAGCAGCGGGAGCACCCGCCCATGTACCTGTCAGAGGCGGGAGCACCCACCCTCTTTGAGGTGATCATGGGAGCACCCACCTGTATCTTCTGGGTGCTCCCATTGATACCCACCCAAAGTCCACTTGACTTGTGTAAATTTTCTGAACAATTTTGTTTTACAACCAAGTCAATTACCAGCATTATTGTGATGTCTACCTACTCTGCGTTGAGGGACATGTCCCGGGATATTCCACCTGCTTACACGGGACAGTACCCTGCAAGTGCATGGCAGAAAATACAGCTACCTCCCCAGTTAATGCCCAACAAAAGACAATCTAATATTTAATCACACATTCACTCCTATGTACTTTCAGTACTTTATTGCTTGTCTTTTGCATATTTCTCTGGGTCATCCAGCTGACTCTCGCTTTTTGGTACAATAGCCGTAGTCTTCCCTTTTTGGTATTCACCCAATTTTTTTTGCGTAAGTCACTATCATTATTCAAGTAAAATCTTTAAAAACCCATTCACCAATCCAGTACTCTTGCTCCTGTTTTCTCAGCCCTTTCCATTGTTCTTCGTCTCATTCAGCGGAAATTCCCTTTTTGGGACAATAGCGGTAGTCTTCCCTTTTGGTCATCACTTTTTTTCCTTCAAGTTATTATCATTATTCAAGTAAAATGTGGCACCATCCATTCACCCCTAAATAGTTACAGACATTAATTTCCTACTGTATTGTCCTCTCTCTTCCTCTTTTTTTCTTGTCGCTCAGCAAAAACTTCCTTTTTGAGACGATATCGGTCGTTGTCCCCTGTTTGGCACAGACACCGGCTTTTTGTCCAAGTCAGAGAAAGAAAAAAGAGCTGAAAAAACAAGACATACAATATATCATCACATTTCCCATAAAAATACACGAACACCACGACTCTTGCCTGTCCAAGCCTTTCAGAAAAAGAATGGCCTGGCTGCGAGTCGAACGGGGGACCTCCGCAAGAACTTCCACGTATCTTGGCCCAAGTTTATACAGCGCGCTACCATTACACCACCAGGCCAATACAAGGGCTCACCTGCATTGGCGTAACATCCAATATATGGCGATACCGACCCAAAATAAAAGAAGACCTGTCTCCCGTTTTTGGGATAGCCCGACCCCGAATCGAACAGGGTACTGTCTTTGACGACGGGATGTCCCACACCTGGGCTTGCTGCACAAAATAAAAACCTGTAGATAGGCATAAAGCTAATACATATTTCATATGTCACATAAAGCCGTAAAGAAGCAGGCACTCACCTTGATCCACTTGCAAAGACGCCCATGAGGGCAAACACAATCTAGGAGTACGAACAAAAAAAAATGGGCTTGTCATCTGACATGCCTCCGGCAGGAGTCGAACCCACGTTGTCTGCAAGAGATTACCATCATGCAAGATGTTTATGCAAATGCTCCACCTGTTGAGCTACAGAGGCCGACTAAGAATCGAACGATGTGCAATATAAAGGCATACCTACCAACATTTGATGAAAGAAAAAAAAATTGTTTCCTGTTTTAGAATAGCCCGACCCCGAATCGAATGGGGTACCGTCAGTGAAAACACAGTATCCAACTTACACCAGGCTGTTGAACAACAAACACAAAAAAGGAGCCCCACAAAAATGGAAAGTTACACACAAAAACCATGGAAACCAAGTACACAACACAAAAAGAAACAAGTATGGAATACACCCAGTTAAGTCGTCTCATACATCACCTCAACCGACCCCAGCCAGCGCGTGACGACACTGTGGTAGCTCTCCGGATTCTCCCCATCGGACGGTGCTCCAGTCAGGTGGCGGTGTACCTCGTCGAGGTCGAGGGCCATGGTGACCGGTGCAGGTGCCAAGGGCACCATCTCCCCGTCGTCGGCCATCCCCTCCAGCCCGGGCAAGCTGCTGTGGGTGCTAAGTGTGTGGATGCTTGTCGTGGGGGTGCTGGACTCGATAGGAGCGGTCACCATTGAGACGTTGATGTCATCAGAGATTGAGCCACACTCACCTGAATCTGTACACTTGGTGGTTCCGCTTCCTTCCCTTTTCATATCAGCTAAGCAACGACACCGGAGGGAAAAGCCACACACCGCCATTTGAGAACACCCCCCCTGCCTTCCTGCACGTTTTGCTGATTTCCATTGCATGGCCACGACTCGGTGCTGCCCTTTTTTTTTCTTGCTTTTTAGCCGTTGTGGTTGCTCGGTCCCTACGTACTCGGTTGCATTGGTCTATCTACTACAATGCTACATCCTACGCAACAATTCTAGTACTAGATATTATTACGGTGGTGGTGGAGTGAAATAGGCGCCGATGAAGTCCGACCTCGGAGTTCGCGGTTTCTCGCAACACTACAAAGAATAGAGTGAGCGACTATTCGGTCCGCAGTTCCGCACAAGACTATAGTCCGGAGTCACGGAGTTCGGAGTTCGGAGTTGAAGTCCGAATAGAGGATGAAGGCAGAGGCTCGACCAACGCCGAGATAGCGAAGAAACAATCAATAATCAAACTGAAGTACAAAACATATCTAACTAGCTTTTTAAACTAAGTACGCTATTGTCTATTGAATACAATAGCGTGCGAGATATTGGTAAGTAAGAAACGTTAAACAATAAGGTAGCAAGGTGACTTAGTAAGGTTAAACAATAAAGGACTTCGGGCTTGGTAAGGACGCCCGAGAAAGAAGTCGGACTAGATAATAAGGCCTCGGAGAAATACAAGTCCGTCGGCCCGATGAGTAATCAGTGATTAGAAGGGAAACGCTCAGTAGACCTTCATAGCGTGAAAACCCTCTCGGGAATTGCCGGACCGGGCCGGCCGGGCCGTCCGGTCCAACAATGCACGGATATAACAGTATCCCCCTCTTAAGACTCTTACCCTCAAGAGTCTTCGGAGTTAATCCTGTTTGATCCGCCCGGAAAATATCGGTTGCCGAAATCACCGATGTCCGAGAATGTCCGAGGACGGCGACCGAAGTCCGGTATGTCCGTAAGTCCGATAATGCCGGAGCCGCGGGAGTGTTAAGCGAAAGACATATAAGGAGGGCGATTCGGAGTCGGAGTTTAAAATCCCCCTTGTCTTGAACCACCATGTCGTCCACGAATATTGTTGTCCCACCCCACGGTAAGTTGTGTATCGGTGTTCGTCGGCGTCGTCGCTGACAACACCGACAGCCTGCCGCCGCTGCCGCCGCACCGGGCGGACCTGTTTAAAAAGATTGGAAAATCCCATGGCTGCATTGAGTGTCAGCAGTCCAAGGTCAAGTGCGAGTGGACGTCGCACGCCACGGACTCCGACCCCCGACCCCCGAACTCCGCGACCGCCGTGGCTAGCGGCTCTGGGCCTTCGGCGCCCGACGCTGTCGCGGTAGCGGGCCCCTCGTCCGAGTAGCCTCGGGGTCCGAGACGTCGGAGTCCGAGGTCGCACCCCGGGGTCCCCGCGACCAAACGTTACCGCCCTCCCCGCCACAACTGCGGCCTCGCCTGCCCCTGCTGGTTCCAAATCGCCCAGCTGAAGCTGGTGGTCAAGACCGCCAATGAGCGCTATCGCTTGATCCGCGCTCAACACCGACGCAACCGCCTGAGCCGCTTGCAGCTCAACCACGCCATCTTACGGATCGAGGAGTGGATCAAGTCCGCCGACGAGGACTTCACTTTATACCCGCTGCCTATTTTCCGGACCCGCGTCTCACCGTCCCCCGAGCTCTCCGAGGTTACACGCCTCGACGACCCCGAACTCGAGCCCGATCTAGATACCATTTGGTACGGGTTCGGAGATGATGTGATTGAGGACGGAGTTCGGTCTCGGGACACGACGGCGAAACCCGAAGCGATGGATGTCGACGTCTCGGAGGTTTCGGGGTCGGTGGCCGAGGGCAAAAGGAAAGGAGAAGGCGGTGGAGTCGGCGTCCGAAGAGGAGGAGGAGGAGTCCGAAGAGAAGGAGGAGGAAGAACAAGAGGAAGGTTCGGAGTGGGGAGGAATTCCCCCGGAGGACTTGTAGATAAAAGCCTCGGGGTTGTATATAGAATAATTTTCTTGGTTGTAATGCGAAGTCGTGTCCGATGTCCGATGTCCGATGAGAAGGCCGATGTAAGAAGAAGTCCGAATGTCCGATGTCCGAAGGTCAATAGTTCGGACCCAGCTTGTCGGGGTATCAGGAGGTGGAAGCTATTGACAAGTTCTGGTGCGTGAACGTCGTCAGCTCCGACCCATGTATACTGCTCATCGGTGTTCTCGTATCCGAGCCATTCTAGCTTGTAACGGAGTTTGACTCGGAATCTCCGATCTAGCTTTGAGTCAACGATGTCCTTAACTTCAAAGTGCTCCTCGCCGTCAACGACTTCAACAGCCGCCGGAGGCTCGGGGGCCCGAGAAGGATAAGGATTAGGAAGGTGAGTCTCAAGCTGAGAGACGTGAAAGACCGGATGGATACTCCGAAGCTCCTTCGGAAGCCGAAGTGTATAGGACATGGAGCTGGGTTTGGCGATGACTTCGTAAGGTCCGAGATACTGCTCGGAGAACTTCGGAGTTGGTCGAGTGGTTCGGATATGCTTTGCCAAGACGTAGGCCGAATCTCCGATGCTAAATGTCGGACCGGGGTTGCGACGCCGATCGGCCGTGTCCTTATATCGGAGTTGAGCAGAGATGATCTGCTCTCGGAGGAATTCGTGAAGACTTTGAAGATCGACGGCCATGTCTTTAGCGTAAGTGTTAGCCACATCACGCTCCGAATGAATGGTTAAAGCAGGATGGTAGCCCTTGTTCGCGAAGAAGGGTGAAACTCCGGTAGATGCATTCGGAGAGTTGTTGTATGCGAACTCCGCCAGAGGTAATAGGCGGTCCCAGTCATCCTGCTGGTAAGAAGTAGTACATTCGGATGTACTGTTCCAGGGTCTGATTAGCGCGCTCGGTTTGCCCATCGGCCTCGGGGTGATACCCCGAAGTGAAGTGCAATTCCATGTCAAGCAGCTCGCCTAAAGACCTGAAAGAACGCCGAAATGAACTCCGAACCCCGATCACAGGTGACGTGGGAAGGAACTCCGTGTTTTGAAAAGACGTGAATAAGAAAGAGTTGAGCCAGCTCCACTGAAGTGATGTGAATGGTGCAAGGGATGAAGATTCCTTGCTTTGAAGAGCGGTCAATAATGACGAGAATGTTGTTGAAACCACCGGATAAAGGTAGTTCCTCGATGAAGTCCATAGAAATTGAGTGCCAAGGCCGAAGTGGGACCGGAAGGGGCTTCAAAAGCCCGTAAGGTTTGTGCCTAGGCTTCTTGTTGTGTTTGCACAAGACACAAGATAGACAGAAATCCCGAACGAAACTCCGAAGGTCGGGCCAGGTATAACCCCGACGCACAAGCTCCAAAGTCCGATTCTGTCCGAAGTGCCCCGAAAGGACGTGGTCATGGTGGTATTGAAGAACTCGGACTCGGAGTTCGTCCGAAACTCCGTTGACTAAAGGCACGTAGATGCGTTCATCAAGTCGGAGAAGGCCTTTGTTGTCGATAGACCATCGGCCGGAGTCCGAAGCAGCATGTCCGAGACCGATGACCGCCGCGGGGTCATCTCGGAGATGGGCTAAAATGTCGGAGTGAAGCTGCTCGGTGTCCATAATGACCGAAGCCCGAAGGACTGGTTCTTCAAGATAAGTGGCTCGGAGTGACGCTGATAACTGATCCTGAGTGAAAACGGGGCGAAAATTGTGAGGGTTAACTTGGCTGTAAGCCCTATCCCCCTCTTTAGGGTAGACGTCCCATCGTCTAGTTAATGCGTCCGGCTTGCCACCTAAACGACCAGGGCGAAAGCGAATGACCATATTAAAGTGGCAAAGGTACTCGGACCAACGCACTTGACGACGAGTCAAGACCTTTGAAGTAGAGAAGTACTCCAGGTTCTTGTGGTCAGTGACCACGTCGATAGTCAGTGGTGCGCCTTCGAGATAGTGACGCCAAGTTTTGAAGGCATCAAAGATGGCTAGGAGTTCCTTGTCGTGAACGTCGTAGTTCAACTCCGAAGGATTAAAGGAACGACTCCGAAAAGCCACCGGGTGGATTTCACCGTCATCTCCGAAGATCGAGAGTATGGCGGCAAGAGCGTAGTCCGAAGCATCGGTCTCGACGATGATTTGTCGGCCCGGAACCCAATGGTGAAGGATCGGGGCTTCGGAGAACGCGTTCTTGAGGTGTTCGAACGCCGATTGGGCCAACTCCGACCAGTCCCATTTAACTCCGGATCGGGTCAAGCGAGTAAGGGGAATGGTGATGTCGGAGTAGCCATTGATGAAACGCCGATAGAAGTTGCAAAAGCCGAGGAAGGATTGAATGTCTTTAACCTTCCGAGGGAACCGGCCAGCCAAGAATGGCATCAACCTTGTCCGAGGCCATCGCAAAACCATCAGGGGAGAGAATGTAACCAAGGTATTCACAAGTCGTAACTCCGAACTC